CTCTCTCTCTCCCCGGATTTGTTCCCAGGCTAACGCCTTGTTTCATTCATTCATTCATTCATCCTCTCTCTCTCTCTCTCTCTCTCTCTCTCTCTCTCTCTCTCTCTCTCTCTCTCTCGTTTTACACACAGACACACAATCATGGCCATTGTCTTGTTGTGTGTTTGGAGAACCTCTTTCCTCAATATGATGAATGGGATATGGTGGCCAACTGGCTCCGGCTTGAGCGGGATTTGAACACTATCTGTTTGTCAACAGGTACATGTGTGTGTGTGTGTGTGTGTGTGTGTGTGTGTGTACCGCTTAGGTACTTGGGCCAGGTGTGGATGTTGGAGAGTATCGTGGCAGTGGAGATGGTTTTGCTTGCTTATGGTCAGCCAAATCTGTCAGTCGGAAGGGAAAAAAGTTTGAAACAGTTAAAAATAAAAATAAAAAAAGAAGACTGTGATGCTTTTTTTTTTTGTTTTTGTTTGGGGGGTTTGGGGGGAGTCGGTTTGTGTGGGTGATATAGGTTGTCCACACTTTTGTTTTTCTTGGCATAAAATTATAGCCTGCGTTTGTTTTTTTTTTCCCTTTTTCTTTTAGACCAAAAAAAGAAAATTGTAGTCTGCTTTTTTTTTCAGCACCGATGAAAAAAGTCGTACTGGCGATCCATCACGCTGTGGAAGTCCCCCTCCAAGAGGTTGAAGCATTCTTCTTTTTCTCTGTTTTTTCCCTTTTTTTTTTTCCTTTTTTCTTTTGAGCAGTTGTTTGGTTGGTACGCGGGTTTGGCTCTCGAGGCCGAGGTCGCCGGTTCGAATCTGTGCTTGCACAGAGGAGGGCTTAGGCCAAGACGTACGGAATCCATATACTATTATTATGCGTCACGTTGCAGTGGGCACAACTGAGGTCTGAGGAAGGGTATAAAAAACTGTGATTTCTTTTTTTACGTTGTTCGATTTTATTGGGTGAATTAAATTATTAAACAATATATAAATCTTATTTTATTATATTTATGGAACAATGGAACTCTAATTAGTCCACGAATTGTTTGGAGCAGTGTCTGCATTGGGCCTGTCTCTTATACACATCTAGATGTGTATAAGAGACAGGCTAGGTATATCGGTGGTATCTGGCGGCCAGGTT